ATTATATATATATATATATATATATATAGTTTTTTTTTTTTTTTTCAACATAAAATTAACACTTTATAACTTACTGGTTGATGGCGCTGTTTTCTCCATTCTCCATGGCGCTTAACCACATGGACCAATCTTCTGAAAGTTCAGAAAAAGGAAAAAGAAGTGTAGATGGCCAGATATTGGATATATTTTGGAAACTTGTTGAAACGAAAAAGGAGGATCGACTTTCTGCTGCCAAAAGTTTGCTGAATATTGTAATTGCCAAGCAAAAATTAAATAAGGTTAGTACATTTTTTGTTATGATGAAAGTGATATTGCATTCTTGGTAGCGTATGCACTAAAGTGGTAGTAATATGATGAAGTTAAGCCTAATGTAAATTGATAAGATAATAAAGTGGCTTAACAGAAGGAGTTTAGGAAAAATGGTACTTGGTAATTCCAGTAATAATAAAAATGGCCCAATAGCAGAAATAGTATATATATGTTCATCAGGATTTTTTACATAAATAATATTTAATAATTATTTAATTTAAAAGAATCACTCTTGTATTAACTATTATTATAATATAATAATATTAATGTTATTGCTGGTACCAGTGCCACTAATTATCAAAGTTATTATTACCAATGCCGTGCTGAATGTACCATTTATTTTATATTATTACTGGACACTAACCGGTAGAACATAAATGTTCATTTGTACGTTAAAGATCAATGTTAGCCTAATATCAGAAAGTTTTTTTTATTCTTTGCTGTTTCTGTTTGTAATTATTGACACATCTATTCATTTAACTTCACAAAATAGCTGTAAGTTAAAATCTGAACATGTACTGATATTTTAAATCCAAATTACTGTGATTATGTAATTTTTCAAAATAGTGCTATTGAGTGCTAATTGTAAAAATATGTTGTTTGCATCAGAACAATACAGTTTGAATCTAATTTTGTTCATTGCTTCATTTTGTTTTCAAGGGTTAACAAAAAGCTATTTAACCCATCTAGAATATTCCATTTTCTACTGCCAACCTGCAACATGTAGAAACTCATTTTTCTGTATCCAACCTGATCTCTAAAAATAAAATATTCGTCCAGTCAATTGTTAAACTTCTTCAAGGTTGAAGCGTCTACACCTGAAGCAAGCTATTCAATAGGCTGATCACCCTATTCAAAATATCACTGCCTTAATTGAGTTTCCCATTTCTTAAAAGTGTGTCCTACAGTCTTTGTTTCTTCGTGTTTAAACATAAAGCGACACAATGAACTATCCGTGCTGTGTTCACCACGGGTGTCAAACCCAAACTTTTAGTGTTATAAACCAAAGGGTTTCCTTGCAGTCTTACTGCCTATAGAGTTCCTTAGAAAAGTGTTATATAAATTTATGGACTCCAAACCTCGAGCATTTTTAAAAACCCAAGCCTCTCCAACAAAAACATGCCAAGATTTCAACCTATTCCAATTTAATAATATCTCCAAAACTGGAATTATCCTAGTATCTCTCCTCTGAATTTCTCCTACAATCGAACATCCTTTTTTAAACAGGAGATTAAATCCAAATACAGTATTTCAAACTAGGTCTAACTAGCACCTTATAATGAACTAATGACATGAATTTCTACTTGAAGTTTGAATCTCAGCAGTACATTCTAACTAAGAATATGTTACTGGTTGGGCTTGAATAGAGGTGGGGCTCTGACTGATGGAAAGTGCAGCCCCTCCCCCTTCAGTGGCACAGCAATAAATCTCAGGTTTATGATAACAAAAACCAAGTTTCAATACCCATTTTGGGCACTACGTAGATAGCCTATTCTGAAGGTTTGTGCTTAACTACAAGGAAAGAAAGAAAAAAGTACTATAACTACCATCAGAAACTTATTCTTTATGTTAAAGTTTCCAAAAACTAAGACAAATTTCTCTTTGAATTTGGAATTCAACTTTAGATTGTCATTTAAAAATATCTTGTACGTACTTGCATATTTGAATCCTTTAAATTAAGAATTGTCCTTAAGATATGTTTTACTATCATATTTTCTTCTCACAAGGAATGTGTGTGAAATCCACAAAGTCTCTTGTTTTATTAGGTCTAGAGACACTGAATAATCCATGTAGAAAAGTGTGATACTGTTCTTGTATCTTAGCTTATTGAAATGTAATTAATGATTGATGTGCATATTCTCAGATGTTATTGTTTTTCTTCACTCTCCAATAGGGGCATGGCTTATGTACAGACCTTGCGTACACTGTTGAGAGACTGGTAAAGGGAATTGGTTCTTTACGAAAGGCTGCTAGGCATGGATTTACGTTGGCTTTAACCGAGGTTTGTCGTGTAATGTGGTTAAGAGAACTGTATTTTTAACATTGTAAACGTTAAAATTTCATTTTAGTAATGAGCTTGTAAAGAATGTAGACAATGTTAAACTTAAGTGTTTGAGAATACCGTGGTTGATAAAAGTTAAATCTTGTGTTTTTGTTTCTTATTATACAGCTTTAATAGCATAATTTATAACTTGTCTTGGATATTGTTTGAGATAAAGGATTCTACATTTCTTATGGTTTATAGTTTAAAAACTTAACACAAATCATTTGAATGGTTTACAAGAAAAAAGTAGTCTTGATATTTTCAGTTGTGTATTAGTCATTATTTGAGTTTGCATCAAAATTCAACGGAACTGAGTATTTTTATTGGAGAGCATAATAACTATATATGAATATTATTTGCAGTTATTCATCAAACAACCTTTTTTAACAACTGACATGAAATACTTGTTTACTTGCTATTCACACACATTTCAGAATGTTTATTCATTTTTTTGGTGTAATTAATAGGTCTTAAGGCTGTTTCCTTCAGTGTCTACAGACCATGTCATTTGTCTTATTAAGAAACACCTGCTACTATCAGGAACCAAACAGGTAAGTTATATTCTGGTCAAGTTGTAATGAAATACTGTTACTGACAGTTATCCAACTAAAATATGAAGACATCATGCTAGCCTTGAACTAGACTAGGAAAAGAAAAAAGATGCTTTTAAAGGTATAGTTCAATAGCAGGGAATATTGGTTCCCATATCAGTTCATTCCAATCTCGTTGACAGATTATCTCAAGATTGGATGGATTTTAATCAAATCTATGTAAAGAGGTACTACTTGTAAATGATTAATTTTTTTTAAGGTTGTGGGTCAAGGTCAAAATGAGGGTGCTACCCAGTGGCACATGGGTATGTCTGCGGACTTATAATGCTAGAATCCGGGTTTTCGATACCCGTGGTGGGCAGAGCACAGATAGCCCATTGTGTAGCTTTGTGCTTAGTTACAAAGTGAGGGCATAGGTGTTTCATGGACACAGTTTGCACTTTTTTTAACCTGTCTGTAATTTTTATTGATTTCTGTCACTTTCTGTTCGTGCTTTTTAATAGGAAGTTGTGCAAAGTATAGTTTTGTAATATATGTTTTGAGTTAAAGAACTTTAGTGAATTGGAATGATGTATTTTTCTTTGAAGAATTGTATAGACATTTTGGTGACATTGCTAATTTGAACTTTCGGAGACAGTTCTTAGCTGTCCACATATATTGTTATTCCAAGACAAGTATCATTTTAGATTCTCTCTCTTTGTGGGAGGATCCTTAAACGTGAATTAGTGGTTAGTATGCCTGAATTGTACACCTGAGGATGGTTCA